TGTAAGTAGTTTCATATGGCTGGAGTGAGACGAGTGGGAACAGTCCCAAGTCAGAGGTTTCGGGGTCCTGGAGGGTTAGGAGTAGGAAAAAGCTACTTGGGTAATATGATTTTTCTTTTGCCTACTCCTTATTCCTTCTTTTGGATTTGTGTGTGTGTGTGTGTGTGTGTGAGGAAGATTGGCCCTGAGCTATACTTGGGTAGTATGTATTAGCTAGAATGGAGAATCAGAATTGCCACTGAGAGGAAACTAAGTTGCAGCAAGGAAGAAAACAACACATTTCAAATCTGAAAGTCTCAGTGAGGACAGAAATAGAAGTATGAATAGTGAAGACAATGGCCTGGAGAGTCAAAGGAACAACAGAGTAATGTATGAGGTGTGGTGGAGGTCAACGGATTGGTCTATGAACAGAGTGTGTCCATGGTACCAATGTGCCAAGAGGTAAGTGGCAATGCACGAAGGAGCTACACCAGCCCTGGTACACAGCATGGCGCCTTCCCATAGTGAGAATTCAGCTTACCCAGAGTGGATTCCGTCATGAATTCCTTCAATAATTGTCAGGCTGCCAATGTCAAGGCAGAACTTTGTGGTGTGCAGAAGTAAAAGGAGTGAAATCTGGAATTACTATACACGGCGATGTGCTTTGTGGATGCATGGAGGACATCACTTTATGTAGGAAGGTAAGCAGCCTAGTTAACCTATCTGAAGGTATGTGTCAAAGATCCTCTTCACATGTTCTGTCTTGTCACTGATCTGAGGATGATGAATGATGGAAAGATGCATGTGTACCTAGTCACCTTAAATGGTTCTACCAAAACTCTGTTGGATAATATGTGGCTGGGAATGCCAGTCAGGCAGATTACCTTCCTTAAGAACATGGAATTGAGGAGCATTTTCATTAGGACACTGACTCTAACTAGGATAGTGCTTCAGCCATTTCATGTGGTCTGAGATGAAGCATAGGGTAATTATTTCCTCTAGATATTAGAGAATGGACACTGTCACGGGAGCTCCCTTGATAATCCACTCAGGCTTTTTTGGTTGGATGCTTATCTCTAGAGCATGTCCTATATATCTTAGCATATTCAAAGATATTGTGCCAAATATGAACTACCCAAAGACCCAACCTATACAAGTGACCTGAAGAGATTCTGATGGCTTGCTGTGACATGAGCACAGAGAGTTGGAGTCGGGCCTCTCCAGCTAGCTATCTTGTTAAAAGGGACTTCCTTTGCACCTAGCTCTATGGGTGCTGAGTCTGGTTGCCTCCTCAAACCCTTCCAGGTTTTGCAGGGTTGAGATTATAGCAATATGTGTGCTAGTTCTAAACGGACCTCAGGAATGGAAAACTCTGAACAGAGGATTTCCTGGTGGTTTTCAACATCCCTGGCACCATTACAGACTGGTGCATCTGCTTAGCTTTGTAAGCTGCCTGGCTGAGTGACGCTTGCAGCTGTTCTAGGCTGCAGTGACCTAGATTACCAGCTTGAATGCTGACCTCAGCCAAGATGCGTCAGCTCCCACACACGGTTGTTGACTTTGGCAGGCCAATGCGGGGCCACAGAACCAGGAGCTCTTCCTGTGAGAATCTTCCTTATAGTGGCATTAGAGATGACTGTTTCTACTTTGTATAGGCATTGTGGAGTGGTGTAGGCAAGATATGGGCAAAATCACTAATATGCCTGTGCCATAGGTGGATCTCAGTGAACTTGTGCTCCCTCTTTCAGGATGAAGGTCAGAGGCTTATCTAAGTAAAGTTTCTTCCTCACCCCCAACCCTCCAAGGCAGACTCCGTTTTGGGGTTTAAACTGTAAGCCTCACAAATATCAGGATATTTTGTAAGTCTTTGATGGACCTGCCACGAGGCTACTTTGAGTGGTGTAATTCAAGACCTGGAAAAAAAAGAACAATTCCTAGAAAGCAGAACCCCTGGAATCTTGAAGACATACTTCTCCAGGTTGGCCAAGAGGTTGGGACATTTGAGCTTTTACAGGACCACCTGATTAAAAGCTTATTCAAGAACAAGTGTCCACAGGATGTTAATACTGGGATAAACAAAGTCAAATCACTCTCTTTACTGTGGACTGCTAGGAGTCTTTCCTGTGCTCATGGGTATTGTGGGTTGCTAAGCAAAGACATGGTCATGTAGCTTTCCCAGTCTTATGGGGAACATTTTTTTCTGGACCTATTAACAGCAGTCATTCCTCCTTGCAACAATTATTTGTGAATCACTGAGTTAGGCTTTCCCTTATTACTCCCCTGGTGGCCTTCATCAAGCTGGTTTTGGACAACATAAACTAAGTTGGGCCTGGTAATTCTCCAAGCTGCAGGTCACCTATAAGTAGATCTTTATTTTCTAAACTGCTTATAGTTTGTTTTTTTGTGATTTACCTCATTATTAGTGAAAATAAGATGAACACAGATACTTTTTTTTAAAGATTGGCACCTGAGCTAACAACTGTTGCCAATCTTTTATTTTTCTGCTTTTTCTCCCCAAATCCACCCAGTACATAGTTGTATATTTCAGTTGTGGGTCCTTCCAGTTGTGGCATGTGGGATGCCGCCTCAGCATGGCCTGACGAGCAGTGCCATGTCCATGCCCAGGATCCAAACCAGTGAAACCCTGGGCCACTGAAGCAGAGCACCTGAACTTAACCACTCGCCCACGGGGCCGGCCCCTACAGATACTTCTTTTATGAGATAAGGCAATCAAAATTATGTGGAAGAAGTGGAACACAAAATTATATGGGAGAAATTTAAAGACTGAAATGTTTTTACTGTTGAAATATCCATATATTTTTTATGTTAATATTACCAAACTCAAAAAAGGAATATATAAGCATAATATTGATACAAAGATACTTTTAAATATGCAAATAAAATTAATATAACAACAAGGTTAAGGCAAAATTTTTGAAATAGGTCAAGACAATCTAAATAAAGCCTCCCATTTACCAAAATTTCTCCTGTTTATTTATCTCAGTTTTTACCATAAACTATTCCTGCTCATAACAAGCCAAAAATGAAACAGCATGGTTTATAATATGAAAAACATGTATTGCAAATAAGTCATAAAATTGAAAAATGGCTACTTCTAGTAGCCACATAAATTTTAGAGGAAATCTATTTTCTATGGGGATGATTTGTTATGGGAATAGCAAGTATTTATTAAAAGCATTAAAATGGTGAAAAAGTGACCCTTAGGCAATATACAGATTCATCATTTAGAAGCATAAAGTGTATCAAGTATATAATTCATTTTGAAACCAATCAGTTTTAATTACTTTTAGGTGAGGGACAAACTCTGAAAAAGAAAGAAAGATGCAGTGAAACAGAAACAGAGTAACTTCTCACGCATGCAGACACACTTCTATTTTGATTGTATGTGGCCTATCAATGATTGACTATGGACTCCCACTTACATCCATATATTCACAAACTCATGAATCTTACCCCGCTAGGAGGCATTTTGTTGGAGTGTACTGCTTTCCTTCCTAGCACCTGCTCTGTACATGTATGTTTGTCTCCCTGTAGGCTAACAGTGGGATTCAAAGGCATGCTATCATTTTGACTCTTCTGCAAGAGGGAAAAAGCAGCAGCTGCTTCATTTCCTGGAAACTCTTTCCAGAAGCCATGAACTCTGGGAAACTTTCCAGACTGACTTATGGAGAGAGTGGGCCAAAACTGCCCCTACCTATCCCTATATTTAGTTGATATGGCCTGAAAGGTAGGGAATAGGAAGGAAACCCCCTCACCCCTCCATTCCCACCCCACCATCTCTTAGCTACTAGGCTAAATAGTATTCTTGGCTTCGGCATTCCATAAATCACTTAAGAGGAAAGAAGGGAAATTATGGTGGGCAATTGTGTTCTTCATTCAGTAGAGGCATCAGTAAGTAAACCGAGTAATATATCAGTAAAAACTGAGTATACTACAACAAACACTTAGAACAGGACTTGGCACACAGTACCATATAAATGTTTGTTCAATAAAATGTTATCACACATTCTTCAGAAGCACCTTTTAAAAGGCTGCAATATACCACTGAGTGGATATAGCATAATTTACCTAACTATTCTGCTATCACTGTTTCAGTTTTCGAATGTTAAAAGCTTTCAATGAACAAGTACATACTGTTCTAGTTTGTGTGCATTTTTACTGTGCAATTACATGATTTTATGAGTAACAGCCTATATACGTTTGGGGAGTTATTGAAGGCATTGAGTGGCTTGGCTCTTACTTCAGAGGAGAATGGCTAGCTGCCACTTCACTGCCGAATGGGAGAGGAATATTTTTCTTAATGTCTTCATTTCATAACCTGCTCAAAGCAACAGGAGTGGCCTGTAAAAGAGTATAGTTCCCTTAAACTGAATATATTATACAATTATGTTTGAGGCAGGGACACCTTCTATTACAAGAAACTAGAAACACTTGAGAGACGAATTCATTATTGGTGTAAACCTCTGTGTTTCAAAAAAGCATGCTGGATGTGAGCACAGAGCATTTCCTGAAGCTTAATAATCATCTAAGTTTAATGCTGGCCTTCAGCAGTCTCATGATTAACATTTCCAAGCAGGTCATTAATCCCTAGGAAATGCTCAGTATTTTGATTGCTGTTTGCTTAATTGAAGAAGTGAATAATTTAGTAAAGGATGATTACACGAATTTGAACAAACAAAAGACTGTTTTTCTAAGATGCACAGTGGCACCCTCTAGTGAGCACACTTGGTAAATGTAAAAAAGTTAAAATAATTTAGATTTTAAAATGCAAGGTTTTTTAGATTTGACATAGGTTTTGATTAGGAAAAGAAAGTATCTTTTTGTAAAAGGAGAAAAATAAACTAATATATTTTCAGAATGTGAAAAAACCCCACACAGATCTAAAGTAGATGACTTTCTTCAGAAATATGTAAATTCTCATTTTATGATAACGTTGTAAAATTTAACATTGTAACAATGAAAACTTTTGTTTTAAAAAAACCTCTTTTCTGTTTTTGCAGGTCAGAAAGGGTTCTTTGTTTGAAATCATTTCCTTTCCAGCGAAGACTGCTTTAACTAGCCTAATATATGCTTCATATGCAGTACTAATTTATTTGGTAAGTTAAGAAAATTAGTAGAACCTAGAAACAAATATACTTATTTTACATAACGTTAAAGATATACTGTATAGTCCATTCATAAACCAAGGTACTATTCTATTGTTACACAAAATAATTTTACATTAAAAGTTTACTTTTCTGAGGAGCCATATCAATCCACCAAAAACTGATTTGCTTAAATAACTAAAATTATTTACTTTTATAAAGTTTATTAACATTTGGTAAAAACATTTTGTTTTTTTTTTCCTTTAGCTACAGTTGTTTTCTTTCAACCACTGTGCCATGGCTGACTAAAGTTCCCTATTCCATCATTTAGGTCTATGATTTTGGGGAACACAAATATTAATGTATTTTGAATTACAAGCACTGTAATTCAAAAGTGTTCATTAAAAAGCATGACAAACATATAAAGGATTTTATAAATTCTAAGGGGTTACTTTCTTTTAATCCATTGCCATTTATACTTTACTTTTTTTAAAAAAAGCAGAACATACAAAGAGAAAGTACATAGCTTGAAGAATTATCACAAAATCTATTAATCTATGTACCACACAGGTCAAGAAACAAAACATTAACATCATTCTAGAAGCCTCTTTCTTGCTTTCTTCACAATCACTGACCTCTTCTATAAAGACAACCACTATTTGACTTCTAATACAATAGACAGTTTTGAATTGTATGTAAATGAAATCATATACTATATATTATTTTGTATTTGTCTTATTTTGCTCAACATTATTATTGTGAGACTCAGTCCTTTGTTGCCTGTAGCAGTAGTTTGTTGATTTTCATTGCTGTGTAGTATTCCATTGATTGAATACATTACTATTTATCCATTCTACTGTTGAACATTTAGATTATTTATAGTTTTGGCTATTGTGAATAAAGTTGCTATGAATATACTCATACATATGTTTTGGTGAAATTTCTGGACCATAGAATATGCATGTGTTCATCTCTAGTAGATATTGCCAAGCATTTTTCCAGAATGGTTTTAGCAACTCATCTCAGCAGATTATGAGTCCCAGTTGCTCTGTATAATCACTGACACTTGGTATTGTCAATTTTTCCATTTTAGTCATTCTTGTGGTATGTAGTATTTATCACATTGCGGTTTTAATTTGAATTTCCCTGATTATTAATGAGATTGAGTACCTTTTAATATATTAATTGGACATATGGATATAATCTTTTCTGAATTTCTGTTGAAGTCTCTTCTCATTTTTCTATTGGAAGTTGTCCATCTTTTTATCATTGATTTGTACTTTTTAAATGTATTCAGGAATAAGCCCTCTTTTGGTGACATAGGAGCAAATTTCTCTTACTCTGTAGCTTGCCTTTTTACTCTTTTAGCACTGTCTTTTAAAACAGAAGTTCTTAATTTTAATGTATCCCAATTTATCAATCTTTTCCTTTATGTTAAGTGCTTTTGTCTTAATTAGGGAATCTTGATCTACACTGAAGGTCGTGAAACTACACCCTCTGATATATTCTAGGAGCTTTATTATTTTACCTTTCATTCTTAGATTTATAATCCATTTGGAATTGGTATGAGGCAAGGGTCAAATTTTTCCTCCATTAGAATCTTAACTGAGCCAACTCAATTTATTGGTGGGGAGGAGACATTTTCCTATTGCCCAAGAACACCTCTTTTGTCATAAATTAAGTATCCTTATATATGTAGATCTGTTTAGAGACTCTCCATTCTGTTCAGTTGATATATTTGTCTATTCTTGTACCAATTCAACACTGTATTATTTGCAGGAGCTTTATAATAAGTCTTGATAACTGGTAGCATAAGTCCTTTTTCCAATCCATGAACATGCTATATCCCTCTATTTACTTAGGTCCTCTTTCATTTCTCTTAATTTTTATGATAGAGGTCTTACACATTTTTGTTAATATTTTTTGATCATATTGAAACACACAATAATAAAGATTAACTTTTTCCTATAATCTATAGATTCAGTGCAGTCCCAATGAAAATCTGAGCAAGTGTATGTAAGTTGACTAGTTTATTCTAAAATTTATAGGGAAATGCAAAGGGTCAAGAATAGCCAAGACATCCTTGAAAAAAAAAGAATGCAAAAGAACTTACTTTTAAACATATTTACAGTTTTTTTTTAAAAAAAACTGAATTTATCAAATAAATATTTTGGAAGTGTTTTAAATTATTGAGATGTGCTCAGTATCTTAAATGTGAATCTCATACAGAATTGACATTCAACTGAACTAGGACGCAAATATGCTGCAAAAAATGGGTGGGATGAACTGGCTAAGGTGAAACTAAAACAAACTAGACTAAAAGCAAAATTAAACACTGATTTCTCAAAGGCTTTTGAAATCATCTCACATGATTTGTCACACCATAAACTTTCTAAATCGGTAACATAAACAATTTTTGGTGACCTGGTAACTGGTCATATATGCGTCCAAGGCCCAGGAGAGGTCAGGGCTGGAATTATGGTATTTTGAAAGCAAATAACATATATGTTAGAAGTCAATAATATATAAGGTGGAAGTTAAGTTGGAATCATGCCAAGTGAAAAGAGTAGAAAGTTGACAGGAATGTGAAGAACAGCAACATTTAACGTGAGCTAAGAAGAAATCTATGAAGGAGACAACGATCAGAAAAGTCAGAAGAGAATCAGGAGAAATAATGTCAAGGAAATAGAGACTCAGGAAGTTGTGAGTGGTTGAGTGTCAAATACAAGCAGAAAAAGTCAAGTAAAATAAAGATTTGAAAAGTGTCCATAAGATCTAGTTGTAAAGATGCTGGAGTTAACCACCTTGAGAACTATTTCAGTGGTATGATGGGATAAGGAAGACAAAAATAAGCAGGCTTTGGAGTAAAGAGATGATAAAATGGAAAGCAGAATGTAGACTCTTGTTTGATCAAGAAAAGAGAGAGGATGTAGCAGTCAAGAGGGAAACAGGGCCCCAGGAATTTTTAATTTTTAAATTTTAGGATAGGAGATACTTGAGCATGTTTCAGGGTGCAGAGGAAGAGGCAGTCAAGAAGGAGAAGTTGAAGAGGTAGGGAATAATTGACAGAGAAGATGGTAGGGTACAGGTTAAAAGCAAGGAAAGAGATACTGACTTTGATCAAGACCCTTCATTTTCTGAGACTGACACAGAAGTGGTTAGAATGGGCACAGATAAAATTTTGTAGGTGAGGGAAGAAGAAATGTATCAAATAGGATAAGGCTTCCCAACCTTTTTTAACAGCATGGCATAGATAGAAAATGATCATATTTGGGATAAATGGATGAAGCAGTTTGTAGCTGGAAGTGATGGACATCAAGGTTTATAGCTCTAGATTTGGATATACCCAGATGCAAGTAACAAAAAATACCTGACAGTGCCTTAATCGATAGACATTTAAATATCTCACTTAACTAGAAGTCTGGGGTTAGGCAGTTCCCTGGTTTGTACAGTGGATCTACACATTATCACGGACCCAGGGCCTTTCCATCTTTCTCTTCTGCCATCCTGTTTGTTGTTCTTGGTCCTTTGGTTTGTTGCCTCATGCTCAGGCATCACATCCATATCAGTGTCCAAAGCAGGAAGGAGGGCATAGGTAGAGGCAAAAGATAGTCTTTCTTTTGTATAGGAGGAAAAACTTTCCCAAAAATCCTTCCTAACCTCCTCCTCAGCAGACATATTTTATTTCGTTGGCCAGAATATGGCCACACACTAACTGCAGGGAAGTGAAGGAAAGCATTTGGTGTTCCCACATTCTACAGTGGGAGGCAGGCAGGAGAGGAGGCAGCAGGCGGTCAGGAGGAAATTGAGGCTGTTCAAACTCAGGCCCTCAATCTGTTCTCTGTTACCCTCTTTAGGCAAATCTTCTAAGTGTTTATAGCTTATTATGTCACCTAGAGGCATCTCTTTGGTAAAATAAGCTAGTATAGGTCTTCTCATATTTCATGGATTTTATTATTCTTGTTGCTTGCCTTAAATACTTGGCATTATCATCTTCATCATTAGTAAACTTAAGTTTAACAGATACAGTTCTTAGTGATTATCAATCTTTGAAGTTATTTTTCTCTATATGTTTTGTCTTGACACTCCTCCTTAAAAGTACTGAATGGCATTTTTTGAGGGAAATTGGATCACGTTTGCTTAGAAATCATTGATCTACTGGCTTACCAAATGTTTACAAAAATGTTTGTGCCCTCCAGTTGTACATATAGGTATAAGCAAAGTCGAGGGAGAAAAAAATACTTTGAGATATTACCAGAATTTGGGGACAAATTCTGTCTCTCAGAAAATGTTTCATTTAATTAAATCAGAGGATAAAGATGCAAAACATCTAATGAATTGGGGAAAAAAGATGTAAAGCATGTCTTTATTGAAGCATACTAGGTTTTAATTTTCTTTCTAGACTGTGGTGTAGTATATATAGAACAAGGACTCAATCTCCTGCTGTTTATCATGTGCCAGGGGTTCCTGAATGGAAGTACTTCTCTATTAGAATATGCACATCAATGACTTCATGTTGAACATTTTATTGGACTTTTTATCTATAAGTTTAGTAGCTTAAAAAGAAACTTTACTTTTCAAAAATTTTTTTTTGTTAGGCAGTCTGTGTTAATGCTGTGCTGGAGAAGGTAAAGAAAATTTTCCAAGAAGAAGAATCCATAAGGCAAAACAGAGAGGAGAGTGAAAATCTTAGAAATGCCTTTTCTGAACCTGTGCTTTCTGAGCCTGTGTTTCCTGAAGGTGAAATCAAAGCAAAACCTTACAGGTCTTTACCGGAGAAGCCAGACAATATTTCAGATCGCCCCAAACTCCCTGCTAATAAGTTGAGTAATAAGATCCAGGTTTTACATTCTGTGTTTGACCAATCAACTGAAATGAATCAGTAAGCAAATGTGAACATAAATATCACTGAACAGAGCTTAAGAGTTATCTATCCAATGACCGTTCATCTGACAAAATTAGGAAACTAATTTTCATACACTGACTGTTCTGCTTTAAAAAAAAGAGGGGGGGGGATACTAAACGTCATTCTCTAGTATTTATATGGTAGAGAAAATAAAACGAATCTTGATGTATGACTATATGAATATGATGTATGACTATAGAATATATGTATATGATATTTTTTAATGAACAAGAAAATGTACCCTTTGGTGGGTTAGACTTTATGCTGTGGTTTATAATATGGGTGTATTTATAATACATTTATGTTTTTATTTAAGACTTGTTTCAAGTATCTTTCTACTTATGTATCTGGGAGGGAAAAAACCCTTCCTATCAAAACGCTACGTATCTTTTTCAGAGATAATAAAAGGATATTTATTTTCTATCTACAGGCTGCATAGTTTGAGTCTGCCTATTATCAATTATTTAACAACTCATCTGTAAAGTTATGAAGGACTTTTAATTCATTGATGTCATAAATTTATAAAACAAAATATTCACAAACTGATGGGAAGATTTCTGTATATGAGGACAGGACATGACATAACATTTTTTATTTCCACATTTAGAGGAACAAATTTAGAACCAGAAATCATGTCCCTATTACTCATTTTTGCCATTGAATCCTGAGAGAAAAGGCTTCTGTAATTGGCCCTGCAAACCAGGGCCATGGTTTTGCCCACAGGAGGTACTTTGGTTTCTTCCATGCATTTTAAATTCTGGATGTGTGTTAAGACCTGATTGGTCATTGGAGGATTAGCACCTGATATAATAGCCTGGGATGTACCCATCCTAGAGATGTGCATTTCCTGTACCTGGTGAGTAGCTGCTGCCAAAAACAGTATTTATAAAAAAAAAGCCCAACCCTGGCTCTTTAGTAGTAGTCTGAGAAATGAGTAACAAGTGTTGTATTACCTCATGCTACCATATTCTAACAGAAAAAGAAGTGCAATAATATGTAGCAAAGGGCTCTATAAGCAGAGCCTTAATGACACATACTTTATTCACTTATTTTTATAATAAACAAGGGAAAGAGTCCAGGTAGACCCCTTAGAGTGTTAAGTTTTAGGTTTGGAGCCTTAATTCAATCCTATGCCACTAACAAGTTTACTGTGCTTTGAGACTGGGTTCCAATCTTGACAAACAGCTTTTCTCACTCTGAATTCATAATCTACTCATCCTAGTTCTTTCTGGCCCACCTACACTTGTATTCTACTATGTGCTGCTGAGTTTTGGATGATCAGCACCCAGGGTGTTACAGTACAGGGTGGGCACAGGCAACCAGAACAGCACTGGCCATAAATAACTGGCGTGGTAAAATCAGGGTGAACCAACTGAACATCACCCCTGCCTGTGAACTCAGCAGAAAGGACTCTGAGGAACAACACCCCATGTCTTTTCTCTCCGTAACATTTACATGAAACACTTAGTTGTACACACATGCACAAAGTTTTCTAAATATAAAAAACCCTTTATTCGAAAATTTCATACAGGCATGCAGAGTACTTTGGCTCACTAAATAGGAGACTTCACGTCTCTCATGGCTGGGCAGCAGCTGTGTTTTCCTTACTTTGAGACTGTCTGTCTTGACTGGAGACAAACTGAACCAAGGTTTATTTGGTTTTGATGTCCAGCACATTGATAAGTTTATTTTTATATTCAGCATGTAAATTGATTCCATTTTTGGAGGCATTTTTTAAGTGTAAAAAGTCTGCTGTACATTTGGAAAAACTGAACAGTCAAGACTTAAGCATTTCAGTGTATTTAAAGTTTACCTAAAAAAAAGTTAGAATAACAATTAGATAGGGGAGGCGTGGAATGCGTGGAAGTATCAATGGAACCAGAATGAAAGACTGGGCATAAGTGTTGAAGTGGGGTGATGAGAGTTTATTATTTGACTTTGTATATATTAAAACTTTTCTGTGATGAAGTCTGCTATATCAAATAGGGATTTTCCCCCAAAAACTTTTCTTAGATCGTATTTATTACCTTTTCTTCATTTTGGTTACTCAAAATTATTTTCATCCTTCTTAAAATGCACATTCCACACCCATTACCTTCAGGTTCTAATCAATCCAGAGGATTTGATGACATGTATTCTATATATCCTGATGGTAATCCTTACATCATACTAAGTACATGTGCTTCTAGGATTTTTAAGGAAAAGTAATAAATGTGCCTATGTTGAAAAAATTAATCATCTTTGGTATTGAAGCAAGGTTAGTCTAAAAATATTTTCAAAACATACACATTTTTCATTGCCATGTAATTTTATCAGGAGGAACTCTTAATTACTTTGAAGTCTCCAGTGGCATAAAAATCAGAGTCACACTTAAAAGGTTCTTTAGAAAGAGTCACATAAATATTCCCATTGTCCACTGTCACTTTATGAATCCTTTGTTTTATTCCTTTGGAGCACCACTCGGGTTTTGCTGATGGATCTTTAGGGTTTATAGACTGATATAGTCCTTCTCCTGTTGCCAAAGTAATTTTGTATTTATGCCAGGGGCAAACTATACATGGTCGTCCGTCAAAATCCTGGAGAAGGAAATAATTGATTTAATAGTCTGACACTTCCAACATTCACAATAAACCTGAGACTCAGAACAGAATCTTTTGCAGAAGAACCAAGTTAAAGAACAGGCCAGGTTCTCTTTTATGCTCATTTACAAATTATTCGGCATAAGGCAGAACCTAATCATAGCAGTCATCAAGTCCCTTTTGCAGCTGATTAGAAACCCAGTGTATTAGAGCTCTGTCAGAAGATAACTAGCCGAGGTGACTATATCATGTGACTGTAGCTATGCTGTTATCTATTAGATGTGAAGGTCACTTCCTTTACAGAAATGAGGCAGGGGCTTCAAGGTCTTCTAAAGGAATTTTCACCAGCTGCTGGAAGAATGGTAAGCTTCAGATATAAATTCAAGAGAGGTTACTAAAGGCATGAGTGCATATGTTAACTGAAGAGCAATTTATGATCCAAAGTAGTCAATTCTCAACTTTTTAACTGTCTTAAAGCAGTGCTTCTCAAATTTTAAAGAGCAGGGGAATCACCTGGATCTTGTTTAAATAACAGATATTGTTTAAATTCAGTATTCCTAGGGCGGGCAGCAAGAGTCTACATTTCCGAGAAGCTCCCAGATGACACCAATGTTGCTGGTCTACGGGCCATACTTTGAATAGCAAGGTTTTACAGTTCTCCTTATCGTCTGAAACCGACGGAAATTCTTGCACATTATTATCACCAGGTGCCTACATTTTTTTTCTCTACACCAAAAGTGCAGGAATACTGATATTGTACCCCCACAGAACTGTCAGCAAACATTCACATTTTCATAATTCATAAATTCATAATTTAAACACACATATGTCCTTTAACATGAGGACAGGTGTGGAAGCAGGTAGATATCAAGTGTAGAGAGAGTGGAACACTAAGTTTAAGCTTGTACTTTGTACCAGTCAGAGCGAGAGAGAAAGAGATTCAGTTTCATAAAGCGAAAAATAAGAAATTAGGCAGCTCGTCTGGGAATGCAAAGCAGTAAGACTGTTTCCCCATTCATTCCTCAGTTAAGCCTTCAAAGTGTGGTCTCTTTCTTAAAATATATATATATATTTATTTTTATTATATTATAAAAGTAATGTATACTCATTGGAAAAAATTCAAACTGTGCAGAAGTATATAAAGTAAAAAGTGAATGTTATTTTTTACTTAAAAAATTGGATCTCATTAGACCTATTATTCTACGACTTGTTTTCACTCAAAAATATATTGTTGACATCCCTCTATACCAATACATATAGATCTGCCTCATTAATTTAATGGTTGCATAATATTCCATAGCAGGGTATTCATAATTTATTTAAACTGTTTCCTATTGTTAAAATATTTAGGTTGCCTTCAATTTTTCGTTACAAAACATAATGCTACAATGAACATCTCCTATATATATATACTTACACATTTGTGCAATTATATCTGCAGGGTGGATATCTCAGAGTATAACTGCTAGGTTAGAAGACATGAGTGTTTCTCATATTTATCTTGCAACAGTTTTCTTTACATTGCATGGTTGTGAATTCCTAGAATATTAGCAATTATACTCAAAGTATTAAAATATAGTTCAAACCCAAATATAAATTATTTTTGAATACAGAATGAAATAAAATAAGACTATAAATAGGAAACATCTGAGTTTGTTGAGAATAGATTTAATTTTACATACCTCTATTTCTCCCAAATGCAAAGGTCCTCCTGAGTCTGAAAAGGAATTGAACATTACATCTAGTCACTAAAAAACCCTGAAATTTTGATAGTTTTATGGTTAGGAAACAAATACAAGATTTAAAAATGAAAAATAAAATCTTACGGTAACAGCGAATATCCATAGCATGATATTCTCCTTTGTGGTAGAAAATGACCACTTCTCTATCATGGACAACAGCTGTCATTCTTTCAGATTTTTTAATGTCATCTTCTCTGCCAACACAGACAGAAGAATATTCCTTTATTTCAGGATCTTGTTCAGTGTCATCAAGATCCATGCTAGCTGAACCAAAAAAAAAAAAAGAAAGAAAAAGAAAATTGCAAGTGTTCTTCACTAGTTTGGCTACAACGTAACTCACAGAGATAATCATAAGAGAAGTCTGATATCTCTGAGACTGATGGAGGCATTTTTTTTGGTAGCTCTATAAAATAAAACATTTATAAATACTGGATTACAGTCATGATTTTGAGTTAGAGACTCTTAAAGCTTGCCAAAATGAGGCAGGACATCCCACTTTGACAGTGGACTTGTATTAGATTCATTTCAATGTGTAAGATTGATATTTCAGAACTCCAAAGGCACAGAGACTAAAATTCCACTCTCCTTTTATTCCCTATCAAATTCAATGCTAAACACATCTTGTTATTATCAGTGTTGTTTTCAGCCTTCTGTTGAAAGCAGATTCTTTGATAGTACGAACAGGTTTGGACCCCGTGGTTGAGGTGGCTCACCTGGTTTTGCCTGAAGCGGACAGCCAGCTTCTGCAGATCAACCAGATAACTATTCCAGCAGAAGAGGATAGGTGTGAATGGACACCTTTCATTTTCTTAATTCAGACAGAAATTGTCACTACTTTCTCCTGCCTTATTTGAGCAGTCAAAAAGATGACTTTCTCTTCAATTAATTTACAGAAGTATATAAACCCCTATTTCTAAACAAAGAAGTTTTGATAGAGAATTTGCAGGTATTCTAAATATATTTTTTCTCAGCACAGATATTTAGCCTATTTCTTTGAAAGCAACTCTTTCAAATAGACCTTCTGTATACTTTAGGAACAAATTATAGTCTGTTAATTCCATATGAGAAGGAAACATCAGGGTCAGGGGTTTCAGGCTCCATACAGAGGATTTTCCTGAGGGCTTCCCAAATGGGGGTATTTGAGGGTTTTTTTCTCTGATAATTTCTGAATAAAACTATATATCCTGTTTGCGAAGAATTTCTATATTTATTCCTTCTCCACTCCTAATCCCAGATCTATCCTATAATTCCTACCCTTCTTCCATTAAAGTTGCTATCCCAAAGTTTCTGGAAACATTCCTGCTTGTCTTCTCTATCTCAGGATAGAGATTGTGGTGGTCTGCAACTTTTAAAAAGTGTAAAGAACCATGTAAAATCTTATGTTAAGGTTGACAAAGAGCTTTAACCCCTAGACAAGAGCATATTTTTAATCTTTGCATGTAATGAAATAAAAATCACAAGACAGAAACTGAGACCATTCAAAGGGTTTTGCCTCTCCTTTTTTCCCCTAATAATTACATTATCAGATATCCCTGCATGGTTTCTTCGCTTTGCTGGAGAAGGGGAATCTTTCAACCCTCTGGACAATATCCAGCTCTGCAAATGGCGTGAGGCAAGCTCAATGCACTATGTAGGTAGACAGGAGAGAGGCTGCCTGCAACACTCAGGCATGAGATCCTGTGTACACCTGGACCATTATCTCAGAGAGGGCTACTTCAACTCCTTTATTATATGACAGAAATTAAAGGGCCATGGTCACATCTAATCACAATCTACTTTTATCTTTGGGACACTGATGATGAGTTTCTCTATAATCTATTTAGGAAGGAATATATGTTTGAAAAAGCAAGCAGGCAAATTTTCAAGGAGTAGCTGTTGACAATAATCTTCATCACAGCAGAATTACAAAATAAAAATAAAACTTTCAAAAGTAGATCTTCAGGGGCCAGCCTGGTGGCGTAGTGGTTGAATTTGTGCACCCTGCTTCAGTGGCACAGGGTTCACAGGTTCAGATCCCAGGTGCAGACCTACACACTGCTCATCAAACCATGCTGTGGCAGAGTCCTATATACAAAGTGGAGGAAGACTGGCACAGATGTTAGCTCAGGGCTGATCTTTCTCACAAGAAAAAAAAATGTAGATCTTCAGATTCTCCTCCTGCAAAGCTCTCCTTCCTTGTTAGAGATGATCATTCATTTGACAAATACTTTCTGAACACCACTATGTGACTGGCACCTCAAGGAAGTAAAACAGATAAAGTCTCCGCCTTCCTAGAAATTATATTCTAGTTGGTGAGACCAAGAATAAGTAAACAAATACACAAATAAGATAATTATTCACTATCATAAGAGCCATGAAGAAAATGAACTGGGTAATATGAGAGAGAGAAACAGAGGGAGGTGATTTTGCAAAGAATGAGCTGGGAAGGTGACTCTGAGATGACAGCTGAGCTGAAACCTGAAAAATGCAAATGAACTAGACGTGCTAGGAGACAGAGGAAGAGAATTCCAGGCTGAAGGAACAGCAAATACAGAAGCTTTAAGGAAAGAAAGAAAATAAAAAAGCTTGGTTAACCTGAGGAACAGAAAAGAGACTGGAGCATAATGAGTGAGACTGGTGAGGCAGGAGCCAGGTCATGCAGCACAGTGTGTGGATTTTATTCTAAGAGCAATGGGAAGGCACTGAAGGGTGGAAAGCAGGGAAGGGTGACATGATCTGTTTTTAAAAGAATGCTCTGGCTGTGTGGAGAATGGATTGTAGCAAAAGTGGAAGCACAGAAATCAGAAAGCTACTGTGTGGCCCATGGGAGAGAAGATGGTGGCATGGACTAGGGTGTTGACTGTCAGGGAGAAAAAGTAATAACAACAACAACAACAACAACAATAATAGCAGTAGCAACAATTATATTGGGATAACTACATGTCAGGACTGTTGTAAGTCCTTACATTTATTAACTGACTTAATCCTCCAACACATTACTACAAAGAAGGTATAATTTCTTTAATTTTACATTGAGAAAACTGAGTGAGGCACAGAGAGTTTGGGCTGATGAACTGGAACGAAAGTTCTACAGAAAAATAAATAAGGACAGCCCCCAGGTTTGTGCAACTAGGTAGACCGTGACTGTGATGGGAAAGACTGAGAAAGGAATGGTACTTAGCAGGAACGGAAAGTCAAGAACTAGCTACATTTTGCACATACTGAGTTTAAGGTACCTAAGAGACATCCAGGTGGAGATATCAAGTCAATGGTCAGATACATCAGACTAGAGTTGAGAATCACCAAGAGATGAATCTGGGAGTTTTCACGGTATGGAATTCAATGGAACCACTTGGAGAGGCAGCGTAGACAGGGAGAAGGGTCTAATACAATTCCTGAAGCACATCAACATTTAGAGGTCAGGTGGAAGACAGGCTGAAGACAAGCAAGACCAGGAGAGTGTCCAATCTATTGCTAATCAAATGAAATTCATTCACTGCTCACTTCTCTACCCTATATGCTCCTCAAAAGGCAAATAAATGGTAACCCAGCCAAAAAGGCAGCCAGCGAGGTAAAATCCATTCCAATCCTGGCCACCTCTATGTATTAATTAATGAATAATACATGAAGAAAACATGGGCTTCCTAGGAAACTCTGTCCCAAAACATTGGTTGTTTCAGAAAAGAGCTGGGCCAACCCCAAACCCTTTTCTCCTTCTGACTACACTTACTCCCTAAACCTCCACTTTCCTAGAAATCAAATACTGGTTAACATCCAAGTAAGGGCTTACAACCAGAATAACTATTACTACTCTCTTTTCCCTATATTTCTAAAGTTTGTCTCCTGTTATACTCCTAAATATCCTTTTAGCCAAATACAGAAATTTAAAGGTGGGAAAAATTAAGACAAGAAATCTCTCAATATTGTTCATAGGGACTGGCTCAAGGGTCCACTCTACATAGATTCAATCCAGTCCTTGAATCAAAATAATGATTCATATACATCACTGTATAACATTCAGGAGTCATTCTTTAAAATTCAAAGTTAAACACATAGCCTTAAACAAGGCATATATGTGTATTTTCAACCCAAAGTAACTCTTCAGTCATAACATCTCAATAGATGTTTATGTCAGACACAAACACAAAAACAAAATGTAACAACAACTCTAAAGGTTGTGGCAAGGCTAGATTTTACTCAACATTTTCATTTTCAGTTCCATTTTAACAATTTCATCATTTTATAGATATTTCATCAGAGCAGAAAGTTCCAGATAACTTGAGAGGTATACAGCTTTGCTTTATACAAGATAAGGAGTTACATATGGAAAAGGAAAGGAAGGAACTGAAAGTGACAGGCCATGTTAGCTGTAGAGACCCAGATGCTGTTAAACATTAGGAAGTTTGCCATGGCATACTCATCATTTTTAACACACATACACTTGTCTACAATTTAAGATATTTAACAAAATTATAAATCATGTCAACCACAAATAAATATTCTAATTTTAGGAAGATGATCCTTCCTAATCTATATCCTCTTCAAATACAGTAATATTGTCATATTTCACAGGAAGTTATACAGAATGATTATACAGAATGATGAATGATTGATCAATAGGAACTAGCCATTCTAATTTCACTTGTCTTAGGTTAACATTTTACATACAAACACATATTAGACTTCTTTAAAAGGGGCACTTGGACGTTGATGTACACAGCTTAGACTCAATCCCTCCCAACAAGAAGGAATTGTTACATGGCAGTGCCAAGAGGCTTCAGGCCTTCTGATGGCTTCTTTTTGTATATTTTAAATATAAAATTTTTATAAATATTTATTTAATCCTGTATGACTGACTAGAAGTTTGAAAATGCTAGGAGGAAAAGAGCATGGCTCATTTAAAAAGTAGCTTTAGACGCCACCCCCCTGGCCAAGTGGTTAAGTTCACGCACTCTGCTTCGGCAGCCCAGGGTTTCACCGGTTTGGATCCTGGGTGCGGACCTGGCACCGCTCGTCAGGCCATGCTGAGGCAGTGTCCCACATAGCACAACCAGAGGCACTCACAACTAGAATACACAACTATGCACTGGGGGGGCTTTGGGGAGAAAAAAAAGAAGACTGGCAACAGATGTTAGCCCAGGTGCTGATCTTTAAAAAAAAAAGTAAGTTTATAAAACAGAAATTATTATTTAGAAGTAAAATCTCTATGTGAATATGTTAGGAGTGAGCTTTAGAAAGAAGAAATTTATATATTACTATTTTGAGCCATAAGGAAGGCAGCTATTAGATATTACATAAGCCTGGACTCCAAAACTCAGGTGTAGGATGAGGGATGTTCGTGTGTTGGGGTGTGTGTTGACAGGGAGAGAGGGGAGCTTTGAGTTCAACATATAAATGAAAGCATAACACAGACCAAGCTTAGGAAATTACAGAGATGTCAAATTTGTACTCTGAAGTTTGCATTGTTAACCCTTGCTCCAACTAACCTACTTTTTGTAAAAATGGAAAAAATAACACAGATGTTCTTTAAAAAAATTATTTCACAATAAAAAAAGCAAAAATATAGTGTTTTTAAGAAAAGGCAAAGAGGACCATGGCCATGATTTTCTGGATTACCCATGGCTGACAGGAGGCTGGATTATTACATCTTTAAACAGTTATCTGGTGTTACTTGATTTTGGCAGCTGCCCAAAGTACACAAACTGCTCGAGGGGTAGTATTTACGTTCACGTGTTAGACGTGCAGCCTTTATCACATTTTGTCACAGAACAGACACAGGGGCAATAATGATAAGAAAAATGGGAATAGACAGATGAACTGAAAGAGGGGGAAATAGGCTGAAGAAAAAGAAAGGAAAAAAATGTGGCCTTTAGAACATACATAACCAACAAAGGATTAAGATTCAGAATATATGAAGAACTCCTATAAACCAGTAAGGAAATGCCAAATAACCACAGAAAAATGGACAAAAGACACAAACATTTCACAGATGAGGAAATCCTAAGGGCCAGCAATCACATGTAAAGATGCTCAACCTCACTAGTAGGAAAATATAAAAGAAACGCAAAAAGCAAAGTCACAAATAGGATACTATTTTCTATCCAACAAACTGGCAAAAAATTTTACCATGTATTGGTGAGGATATGGAGCAACTGATGGTGATGACACCAATTGGTGCTATCCCAGTTTGGCATTATCCAGTAAAATTGAACATATTTATGATCCAATAATCCCACTTTAGGTATATTCCAGAGAAATATGCACAGGTACTGTGACACATACACAAGAATGGTTGTAACAGCAAAAGACAGGAAACAACTCAAAATCCATCAACAGTAGAATGGATAGTTTTTATATTCAGGCAATGGAATGCCGTGTAGCAGTGAAAAACATATAGCTACATCAACCTGAGTTAATTTTAAAAATGTAACTTGAAAAAAATTGAAAAGAATTCAGAGTATGCTTCCATTTTTATCAAGTGCAAAACCAGACAAAACCAAACAATATATTATTCACGGACATATGCATATTGGGTAAATTTATGAAGAAAAGCAAGGGGATAGTAAACACAAAATTTCCTAAATATCTCAAAATACTACACTTATTCTTATATTTAAAATTACTCTTTTTCAATATTTAAGTTGTATCCTACTTTATAAATGTGTAGCAAATGACTCAAAATCCAAGAAAAAGGGGATAAAATGGCACTTTCTATCCTCAGAGAACGCGCCTGTGCATGGATCATGAATGGACTATTGGAGAATTTTGTACAGCTTATTTCAAAACTTGGCATTAGAGGGGGAAATAAATGAGCAACTCTCTTTTTTTTCCAGGCAAAAACTAGAAAAGAAATACTAGTATCAAGCAAGTAACAAAATACATGAGATGTGGAGTAGCATCAAAAGTCAATTTCTCCCTGACTCCCAAACAAATGAGAACCAAATACAAGTGTCAGCTGCTTCGAACATACAGCCTTTGCAGGGTTTGCCCTAACCAAGGAAAACTGTAGCGAACTTTGCAGGGGCTGATAAGAAATAAGCAAAGAAAGCTGGGGCTAAACGATAAAGGTTTCAGAGAACTATGATTACAGCCTTGCATTTTGCTTAGAAAAGTATTATCTTATCCTTCAAACAATTGTTCCCTTCATGCATCATAAATGGTTCTATTTACTTATGATATATTGTGACTATTTATAATTCACACCCATATTATTCTTAATTAAATGTTGTGAATATCACCATCCATTCAGAAAACAATGAGTCCACGTGTTCACCTTCATTTCTGTTACTTTGATGCACTATTCCTAAGCTCCCACACAACTACTTTGAGTCGACTTTAAGATAGTAGAATCTTAACTAAATAAAAACAAGGTGAAAAATTAAACGGCTTATCCAGTTTGGGGGCTAGAATAACAAAACTTCCTTCTGAAAAATTTAGCTGTTTTGTCCTAAAACAATATTAATAAAGAATAAAATAAATAATATAGAATAAATAATAATAAATAAATAAAAAATAAAGAATAAAGAATAAAATAAAATAATAATATTAATAAAAATAAAAATAAAATATTTCTTTTGCCTGTGCCTAAAATTAGATTTCTAAAGACGCAAACACCACATAAAATGACAAATCAGCTAAATGGATCCTCAGTCTTTATTAAGATACTTTTCCAGCATAGGAATCCATTCAGGGTGGACTTAAAAAAAACATAACAAGTTTCCATAAGACACTGGAGACAAAAGAAATACGAAATGAAATGAACTTACTTGTTCCTCCTCTTGAGCACTGACTAAGGTGCTTTCACTAAGTCTGGGGACTTGGCCACATCATCAGAATGCACAGCTCCAGGGTGACATCCTTGCTTTTAGGTTCAGAGAAGAGAAATGCCTTAGACAGTCGTTTTGTATCTCTTTGGATGGCAGAATAATAGATAAAATCAGTTATCCTTCGGTGTCACTCCTTACACCCTCTGCATGTATGAGTTCTTTAATAGTCACAAAACCGCCAAGGGGTAAGGATCATACCAATTTTCCTGATGAGGAAACTAAAGGGAAAGGACCTTCTTTAACAAAAGCTTACCCAAACTTCTCCGTAGCGCTCAAGATTCAAACCCAGATCTTATGAGTCTAAGTTTTGTGGACAGTGATATAGAAATCTTAACGCTGCATCTAAGCAGAGCCACGGATTTAGAAAAACACGTGGGCTGCAAGTACACTATCTGGAAGGTACAAAACCTTTTAGCAGATTAAAGACATCTGTGTGTATATATGTGTGCGTGTATATCACTACATATATATATCACCATATATGTATCAGCAAAGATGATGGTTCTGAATTTTTTTAAATTTAGGGATGCTAACTTGCAAGAGTCGCGTCAACCAACGTTTCAAACGGACTACTTCCCCGAGAAGTTAAGGAAGTCACGCGGGTGCTGTAGAACCCGCTCCCCTCGGGGGCGGTCTTAGAGCTCCGTGGTCAGCAGGGGGTGCTCCCCGGGTGCGGCCCCCCGGGCAGGCGGGGTTTGGGGCCGCTGGCGCGCCCGTGAGGGAGGCGGCCGAACGGGGCCGTGCAGGAGAGGAGGCGGGCCACACGTCTAGCGTCTGGAGCAGACGCGACCTGGCGGAAGGCTCAGCCCTGTTAGTGGCACCGCCACGGTCCTCGAGCTCTAACACGACTTCAAGCTCTATTTAACATCCGAGCGAAGCCGGGCCGCAGTCACACGGGGCGGCGCTCGAGAGCCCCAGGCCCGCGGGAGCGAGGCGTGCGCACGCGCGGGGCCGTCCCTCCCGCGGCCGCCGGGAGACGCGCAGCGAGGCCGGCGGGGTCGCGGGACGCCGGGGCGGGGCTTACGCTCTCAGGCGCGCGAAAACCCGCGCCGCTGTCAAAGAGCACTCGCCTGCCCCTCCGCCCTCCAAGGTGACCGAGCCCCGTGGGCGTCTGTGACTGGGCAGCAGGCTGCCCGCGGGTTAACGATTAATGAACACGGCGCCGGGGTAGCAGAGCCAGGAGCAAAAGCCACAGCTCCAGGCCGCCGGCGTCGCCGCCGGAAGCCCGAGGCCCGGCCTCCTGCCCGGCCGGAAGCAGCGGCCCTACGAGCCCCGCCCCGCGCCGCGCTGGCCGCCCAACCCCGCGGCCAGAATAGAACTTACCTTTTCCAAGTCCCTCGTTCCGCCCCCGCGAGATGCTACTGAGCCAGCCAGGGCTCCGGCCTCCGCGCGGAGCTACCCGGGGGCGGGGCGCAGCCGCCCACGTGACCCCAAAGCGCCGCCCCCGCACACTGCAGCTGGGCCCTGCTCTCTGAGGCCCCCACCTGACAGCGACCGCTGACCAACCACGCCTTGCCAGGACCTCCGAAGTGACAGTCTTAATCTTGTGTTAGACGTAGGTGGCACCAATTTATTTGTAAATGTTTGTTGATGACACCAAAGTTCAAATGCAGTCAGCAGTCTCACTTCCAGGAATTTACCTAAATAGGAATTTGCAAAAATATTTGCAAAAGTTCGTCACGATGCATGTAATCCATGTATAAAGATGTTTATTGCAAGAAAAGAATGAAAATAGCTGAAGTGATCGTCAACAGGCGAATGGTTAAATAGAATACAGTGTAGACATGTGAATTACTTTGTAGCCATAGACTCAAAGAGCAGATTTCATGAGGTAATGAATGTTAAAAAGGATGGTATAGAATACTATGTGTAGTGTGCTCTCTTTAGTGTAAATAAAAATTACTTCTCGAGATACAAATATGTAGGTATGAACGTAAGCTTTCTATTGAAAAATAAAAACAACTGGTTACTTTGGGGGGAGATAAAGGGTTTTCACTTTCATTTTTTGAACTTTGCAACTTTGTTTTTTCTCTTTATACGTCTATGAATTAAAAAACAGCAGCAACAACAAAACACTTCATACTTGTGTTCAAAGCTGGAAGCTAGGTGAGCCTGTTAGTTTTTTAGTTTCCTTGGCTATCTTCTAATGCAGTGGTTCTTAAGTCTGGCTGCACCTTACCATCGCCTGAGAGTATTAAAAAGTCATGATGCCCAGAACAATGAAATAAAAATTTCAGTGGTGAGGGGGAATCAGTTTTTTGTTTCTAACTTCCCAAGTGATTCCAGTGACCTCAAGGTTGAAAACCACAGTCTGTACTTAAATGCTGACATACTGATCTCAGATCCTAGCATGGCCCAATGGGCCTGGGGCAGCTGAAACCCAGGAGCCTTGTCCATTTACCACAGTATGCCATATAAATGCCATTTTTCCCAGGAGCCTTGACATGTAAAAGATTGAGAAGTCCAGAAGAATGCATTTGCCTCCAATGCTCAGTGTAGTTTTAGGGTGATAATAATATTTTTATGAGATAATTTCCCTTTTGACCAGTTATTTCACTGATCCATGCACAAACCAACCATGCAGGGTTTTTTTTAATTTTTTAAAATTTTTCCTTTTTCTCCCAAAGCCCCCCAGTACATAGGTGTGTATTTTTAGTTGTGAGTCCTTCTATTTGTGGCATGTGGGATGCTGCCTCAGCATGGCTTGATGAGTGGTGCCGTGTCCGCGCCCAGGATCCAAACCCATGAAACCCTGGGCTGCCGAAGCAGAGCGCACGAACTTAACCACTCGGCCGGGGGGCCGGCCCCAACTATGGAGTTTTGATGAATTGTTTTACCAAAGTCATAATAAAATATATTTAGGTTTATTATAATTTACATGATCTCTTAGCCATCCCAAATTATTTTATTCGCACACACAGGATGTCAGCAGTCCTCAGCTTGTATCATTGAAGGACTAAATAAGGTTTGCCATTTCTAACAAAAAGTCCTTTTTTGGTTTGCCATAATCTGGGAATTGAAATAAGACACATCTTAGATCCATTGACCTTAAATCTGATTTCGAATAAACTGAAGAGCTCAGTAGATATGCACGTATGTATACACAAGAAGAATGAGAGAGAAATGGAAACTTCCTTTTATCTCTACCTAAAGTATTAGTGTGGTTAGTCATGCAATCATATGAAATGCTTGGAAAGCTTCAGTGGTAGTGTGGGGTGGGGTTGGGGTGGGGTGGCAGGATAAACTACCTCTCTCCACTTTCTAGGTGCCCGTACCTGAATGCATGCACACACCCATGCAGGCACAGCCATGCAAGAGAGCTAATCTCAGGAACTCATAAAGTTCATTTGAAAGTCGTTACAGTTCAGAATAAAATTCATGATTCCTGCTGTCATTTTCCTTTTTTTTTTTTTTGCAATAGAACAGTTCCAGCCAGTGTGGACACTGCTTCCACAAAGTTCTACCTGAGGCCGTTTGGGGGCACTTTCTACCTCCTGTCTACCTGGAACCAATTTTTGTCTTCCTCTGTTCCTTCCTCCGTCGGTGCTTTCATGCTTTCCTTTCCTACTAGTGACACCTGGTGGTAGCCCTGGCATGGCTGTTGTTACCTACCACTGAAAACTCCAGCTTTTCCTCTGTGACCTTGCCGGTCAGTATCTTTGTTTATAAATAGTTTCAAATGTCCCTTTTCACCTTTGTGAGCCCCTCTCCTCTGCTCTGAGCCTCAGGCTGTTTCTAGGCAGACTTTTCTGGGACTGAGTCCTTCCTCTCAGAGGGCTTCAAAACCTACCTTCAATCCTAAGCCAAAGTCTGTCTTGTGAGCTGATGAAGACATCCATGCGCTGCTTGTTTCACTACAGAGAGGTTTAAAGAGTATCCACCAGTCTGGAACTCCTGCTACTTCAAACCAGAAAACCGTGATGACATTGCCCTTATTAGGCCATTGGGATTCAGATCATGTGAAAGTGAGGATGGCTTTAAATACCACCTATCTGCTTATGACTCCTAAATGGAAGTCTCCACACATTCGTTCGTTATGGATATCTATGTGACCTTCCCACCAGGATATTGTGGCAGAAACAATGGTGTTCACCAAACACCCCATCTACTACCCCACATTTTGCAGCCCTATGTACAGTTGGTTGAGGCCATGTGACTAGTTTTGGCAAATGGGCTAGGATTGAAAATGCAGTGTGTCACTCCTAGACAGAAGCATAGAAGAGCTCATATGAGACCTCTCCAGTCGTCTCTTTTTCTGTCACAATTGACGTTCTAGCTGAAATTTTAAGGTTGGTTTATGATTGCAACATAGCATAGTTTAACCTATCTCATAGCTATCTCCAATTTTATGTGTTCAAAATTGAAATATTTTTTCCCATAAACCTCTGTTTCCTTTGTCCCTTCCATCTCCATAAGTGACAGCACTGTCCCTCCACATGCTTAAGGTAGAAACCTAGATGCCATACTTACATCTCCCTTTTCCTCGCTCCTCCTGTGCAGAAAAGAGTTAACATAGCTAACCTAAGACTGTTCTCCTTTAAAAGCTCTGCCTGCAAGGTTGGCCCTTGGCTGATGTCTGGTAACTTGGTTGGTAAATACGCCCTACACTGATTTAAGACTTTCTCTGAATAATGAGAGTGACTCACCGTGCCTAAACTGTTTGTACAAATGATGTGATTTATGCTGACTATGATCTGCTTTTCCTCTGTTAGTCTAGAACCATGGTACATGCTAGGCAGAGGTCTCTATGTGACCAGCCCCCAATAAAAACCTCAGGTGCTGAGTCTCTAACAGGTGTCCTTGGGTGGAAACACTGCACACATGTTTCTGCATTTTTTTTTCTGGAGGAACAGTGAGCTCTGTATGACCCCTCCTGAGAGGGAGAGGGCATCAGGAAGCCTGCACATGGATTCTTCTGTACCCACCTGTGTCCTTTTTCCTTATGATCCAGCTGTGTATCCTTGCAGCATTGCTGTGATAATGTTAGCATGAGAAGAACTATTTAATGAGTCCCAGGAGTCCTTCTAGTGAATCCCTGAACATGATGTAGTCTTAGGGACCCCTATGATATTCCCCCACATCTAATCCAGCACTGAGTCCTGTCAATTCTACTTCCTAAAATGTATTTCACATCACTCTGCCCCTTTCCTTGCTGTTGTCACCACTCTGGAAGGTGCCTTCATCTTTTATTTGTGTTGGACTTTGAGAGGACCCAATAAATAACACCTTTCTTTCCTGCCTGAGTTTGGAACCAACTGAGAAATACGGGAAGAGATCAAAGTGTAAGCTTTATTTAAATACTAAAACTCTAGATTGAGGTGCAGCCAAATGGACTTGTTAACAGTCTCCTGAATTAAATTTATGTACTCAAACTGCCATCTTCTCCCTTAGAGCTGTCCGCTTGAGAGGATGGACCAGACTGTACCCTCTCTGTAGGCACACGGATCTGTAGAAAGGAAAGGAAAGGGCTGAGCTGAACATATCAGAAAAAAGGGAGTAAAGGTTGGAGATTTTGAGATTTTCTGATTTCTTGCTCACTCCTGATTTTTATCTTCCAGGTAGAACTTTAAGTCCCGGGCATTTAGCAAATGATACACAAGCTGACCTTAAGTAGGGGGTGGAGAAGGGAGTGAGGTCAGTGAACACCAGGTAGTCTGTACTGAGCCTCAGGCAAAATACTGGCCATTAGTACCAAGCCAGACTTAACAAATGTGCACAGAGCTGCGTGGGCCCAGCAAAAGCACAGCACAGAGGGCTTTAGGTGATGTGGGCCTCAGGGGGCAGGCTCCTTGGCCTTGAACAATGTTCAGAACCTATTCATTCTACCACACTGGGTCTCAGCAGAGGTAGGGAGGCCACAAAGACCTTGGAAATCAGGCATAGCTTAGGCAAGGACTAAATTATAAGAAAAAGGTCTTTTGGTACATTG